TTGTTTACAATGTTAAGTGAGATGAAAATAATGTAAATCTATTATTATCCAATTGATGTTATGATAAACATCGATGATATAGGAAATTATATTTACTAAAATAAAATCATCATGTTATGGTATGCAATTTCTTAGATAAATAAATACGTGACAGTTTATGATTTTTCTCCTACGTTTAGTAGTTTAACATGTAACAGAGTTATTCTAATTCAATCCTTCTTTTATGACAAATATTACTTAAATAAAAACTCACATACTCACATTTGGTTGTTAAAATATATTAATTATTGTTTCTTTTGTATTATGTATTATTTAGTTTCTTATTGTGCATTTTGTACGGGTTGTCACTTGATGTATACAACTTTTGTTAAAATTCACTTACCGTAAACATGAATAAAAATGAAACGACAAAAGTTGTACACACACAAGTATAATAATATTATTAATATTCTCATATTTAAAATGAGATTTAACGTAGGACTTAATAAGTCACTTTATATCATTTTTGAAAGTACTTGAACAAATCACCCTGAAGCGTATACTACCGATTATCGAAAGTTCTCCGTCCCACTTTCAGTTCGATTTCAGAAATAAACATTCCACAGTACAGAAAATTCACAGATTATTCTATAATATATTCTTTTTCATATAAAAAGAATTGTTCTTCAACGTTGAACTGGTAATTGATCGCGTCTGGCATCAGGGCTTATCACTCAATGTAAAACGTACTCTCCCACAATTATACTTTCGTTTAATAAAATCATATCTAGAAGAAAGACACTATTATATAGGCTCGGGCTCTTTCTTATCTCCCAAAACCATAATCGAAGCAGGAGTTCTACAGGGAGCAGTAATTTCTCCCATGCTAATACATTTTTTCGGCTCTGATTAGCCCACAACTACCAATACCATTATGGAGAATTTGCAGACGATAAAGCTCTCCTCGCCGCGCTCCCAGATCCTCAATTAGCCTTACAATACATTTAAATGCATCGCAATATTCTCTCTCTCTCTCTCTCTCTCTCTATGTTTGTTTGGTACAATGAACGGGGAATCATCAACACAATGTTACTAAATCAATACGCTGCAGCTTTACTTTACAACTTCGAGAATGCCCTCCTATCAAACTTAATCACCAATTCTCCACCAATGTATACAACTACTCGCTACTTTGGAGTAACGCTTGACCGGCATCTCACCTGGGCAGCACATATTAACACTAAAAATAACTATCAAATGACAGACATAGACTACTACACTACCTCCTAATACCCAAACACATTAACCTGGATAATAAATAACAAAATAATAAAAAATCAAATTAAAATTAAAAATGAATAAATCATCAACACTCGTGATACTCGTCAATAATAATCAGAATACACCTCGTTTTGATATCAATGCAGACTTAAAAATATTAAATACCAAAAATAACATTAACATTAATTCAGTTTTAGAAGAGTTACACATACTTACACAAAAAAATAAAGAAAAATAATTTTAATAATATTTTAAATGTACAGACCGATTTTACAAATAATACAGTGGCGTAGATACAATTTTTTTCTGGGGGGGGAGGGTGATTAAGAGTAAGTTTTTAAATGTTCTTAGTATATCATAAAACGAGGTCATATGTAATAATATTACATTTAAAATGGTATTATATATATATATTGTTCCGTATTTAATGAAAATTATTTTGTTACTCATTTTTTAATATGTACCTAATCATAGTAAAATCAAAATATTTTACTATAATATGTAAATATTAATAAATAATAATCAAATATCATTAAAAAAAAATCTGTGGGGGGGTGGAAACCCCTTACACCCTCCCCGTAACTACGCAACTGAAATAATATTTCATATCAATACATTTTTGATAGTAATAAATAATAATAATCAAATTATTTATATTTCTTCATATATCTATGTTTAATAAGTATTTATATTAAATAATTTCTCCTTTTAAAATAAATTATCTCTAAGTAAACCAATCAATTTTTCTCAATGTATTCAATTGTGATTTTATTGACCTGCTGATGAATTTTTAATTCAAAACCGATTGTACTTTATAAATATAATAATACTCCAGGCTAAGCATTTATTTATTTATTTATATTTATAAACTATTTGTTTATTTATTTATATATTACTGAATAATAAATTACTCATCTACAAACTTCTCAAACTATTCTGGATCTATGCTATTCAAGTTTGGGGCTCATTAACAAACTGCAGATATTCCAATCCAAAACCCTCTGTCATATCACGAAAGTTCCTTTCTATGTATCCAACCATACTCTTCACAAAAACCTCAATATTCCACTTGTGTCCACTAATGTTGTAGTAGCACACTATGATCACCTACATTCTAAACTTATCCCTCACCCTAATTTATTGATAAATGAGCTAAACTCCGAAAATATACCTGGCGATCCCCCGAGGGTCTGAAGTGACATTGATGTAGAAACCTAAAAATTGATTGACCAATAATATGACCAAATGTTAACACATTTAAACTAATTTAAAAAAAACGACAATTTCTAAATGTTTGGTTTTGTCATTGAGTAACTTCCTAACTTGAGCCAATCCTGCTGTATAATAAATATTATCAATTTTATTTGTGATAAATAAACTAACACAGATTGTGAAAACTAAACATAAATAAAGAAAAAAATGTAACGTAGGGACATACAGGTTGGATATTCAATTTTATAATAATTGGTTAATGGCCGTGCTGGGGATACGCATCTCCAGCACGGCTATAGGAAAATCGGGTTTTCTCGGGTTTGGATGGGTGTACAAAATTTTATTTTGGTTGTACGAAATTGTACGAAAAAAAGTACATACGGTCAAGGTTTGGTACTATTTTTCAAAAGTGGCCGTGCTGGTGATACGGACCTTAATATTATTGTAACTAATTCGAATAAATGGACATCGAAAAATCACCAAAGACAAAACGTAGGTTTCGATTAACATTTCTTCATACGGTTTAAAAGGACAGTTCTAATTTGCGCACAAACACCAAAATGATAACTTGTTTGCGTAAAAAACTATCATTCTATTGGGAACAGTTGTACTTTAAATCAATCACATAATTTGAGCACATTTATATTTACCAATTTAGGTAGTTCATGAATTACCTACGAATGATGGTGAATTTATGAAATAACATATACAAATAGTACTTGATCTAGTTATTTCATAGAATATCTAGTAACTTTATACAGTTTTAGTTTAATAATTTAATATTTATATTTTCACTACGTTTGTGTATTCTTTTCAATGTCATTTATTAAAAGAAAAAAAAATTTCTCAAGACACACTGGTTGTTAGGAATTTAGTAACTTATCCTATTTATCATAGCGATAATAAGTGAAATATCGTGCAATGGAAACAAAATGCAATTATCATCGGTATGCGCAAACCAGTTGTACGTTTCGTTTAATCATATACCCATATGAGTTCCGATTTTTATGGTAAAAATCATAGTTTATGCGCAAACAAGTTGCAACCAGTTTCAAGTGCAAGTATATGGTGTTATAATCGTCCAGTAGCGTAGATACAATTCTTTTCTGGGGGGGGGGGGGGGGTGTTTAAGAGTAAGTTTTTAAGTGTTTGTAGTATATCTTAAAACGAGATCATATATAATAATATTACATTTAAAATAGTGTTATTATGTCCCGTATTAATGAAAATTATTTTGTTATTCAATTTTTAATATATACCTAATCATAGTAAAATCAAAATATTTTACTATAATATATAAATATTAATAAATAATAATCAAATATCATTAAAAAAAAAAATCTGTGGGGGGGTGGAAACCCCTTACACCCTCCCCGTAACTACGCCACTGTAATCGTCTGAGTACATGATTAAATATAGTGGATAATCCGGCCTATCCGATTATCAATACGGTAAAAGATTTACGGGGAAATAGATTTCACTTCATCGAATTTAAATATACACGTGCATAAGTACAGTATCTGATACACACAATGAGTATCAGGTATACACATACACACGCATACAAACACACACACACATATGTATGTAGACGAACAATATAATATATCTATGAATTAATTTACGATTCGTATTTGTTTACGTCTTTAAGTGCACCCGCGTGTTTGTTTTGAACGTAAAACACGCTGTTGGCAACAAACGATTGACGTGTGAATAATTTATGTAGGTAAAACATGTATACGTAATACGTCATATTATACAGTGATATATTTAGCAGTATACGCAGTTATAGTGTTATAATAGTACACAGTAATAAAAAAATAAAAACGAAAAAATGGACGAGATTAAAGGTCTTATAATAGTCCATGCCTGTTCATTTCTTCCTTAGAGGGAAATCTTAAAAACGCATATTTTTCGCACGACGGGTGAAACATAAATGCTTTACCGCGCCATACGTTTTGCATTTAATATTCGGTATTATTCGGATTTCAGGGGTGCAAACCTCGACCCGCACCACCAAGAAAGGTTTTCCTTTATGAGTTATGTTTATACATACAACTATCAGCAGAATTAGCTGTCACTGATATCATTTTCATAATACTGCAGTATTTATAACATATTTTATATGATGTTCACTAAAAAATAATCAAAAATACAACCATCATCAGCAATATCTGAAAATATGCCCTTTGACATAAATTAGTTTTGAGACATCCTAAAACAGGAACAATTTATTTTTTGCAATTTTATTCTGCAGTATAATCATTGATTAAATATACAAAATATTTCATATTTAATCAATGGTGTAGCAAACAAATGAAGGGTTAAACGATCATACAAAAATGTTAATAATTACTTAAAGTGTAATGTAAATATTTCATATGATAAAAAAAAAAAAAATAATAATAATAATAATTCCAAACGGACATTACACAACATAACTATCACCTGGTTTATTAAAAATTATGTTACTTTAATGCTGCGGGAAAAAAATAATAAAATCATGAAAAATAGACTTATGTACTTACGGTCGACTAGTTTCACAAGTATTGTCTTTTGTAATTTTACAATTGATCTTGAAGTCCTCGAATATTTGTCGACAATCGGGGGATGATTCACAAACTGTCAACGCATGATTGCACGAGGCCAAAGTATCAATATGGAACGGGTCGTATTCTGTATACAAAAAAAAAAAATTGTTATACTTATTACAATATAAAATTACTTATAAAAATATTAAATGTGTAGTGCTTTTAATGCATTCATAGACTGCGTAAGACTTTTAAAAATCTTTTTATTATGTAAATGTAAAAGGTGTAATGATTTTTATACTCTGTACATTACGAGTGTGTGTAGGTACCTAGTTCTTTATAGTCACGACCTTGCGATAAAATAATAAATTATCGTGTGTATAGTTATACCATGAAAAAGTATTAATAATAATGTTTTACCAACATTGAACTTAAACGCATACAAAACACTGTAAGTTTCTATCCCTCTCTTTTTCTTTCTCCATATAATATATATATATAGAATGTAATAATAATATATATGTTTCATACATTTCTAGTGTATGTGTGTGTAAATAATGAATATTAATAAATGTCAAAGCCTCTCAAACGACATTAAGTTCCATTTGTTCACTAAATATAAATATCTATAATGAGTTTTCAATGTACTATTTTATTATAATACTTATTATATGCATATTTGATATTTTGCGTTTGTATAAAATTATTTGAATTATTAGTTATTAATTATTATAATCCTATTTATTGACATTATTAATTTACTTGCGAATCCAAAAGTATATACAGTGTGTAAACGGTAATCGAGAACACTCAATATCTTTGCATAGAAACCTGCTATTTGAATTCTGTTTTTTTGACAGTTGTTATGACATAAAAAATACACATTTTTATGGTCTTGGAATTTTTTTTTACTTACGCGCATACGCATGTCAACTTTTTTTTTTTAAATGGCAACCCCCTGCTTAAACCACTAATTATTTTTTGCCTATTTTTTTAATGAATTTTGGTAGTTGAATCAACTTTCTAAGTTCAAAATTGACCAAGTTACAGCAATTCAAAAAAAGAAAAAAATTAGAAAAAAAATGCACTCGATTTTCAGCTTTTTGATTGTAACTCTGAAAATAATTATTATAGGATTGTTAAAGATTGACATTCTTATAACTATTTATTACGGTGATATTCATACGTTATTTTAACTTCAATTACTGAATAATTTTCTATTAGAACGTTAAGTTATAAATGTATTTATAAATTGTTTAAATTAATTAGGTAATTACCTCTGCTAATCTAATACTTATTTTATTTTTCGGTCATTAATAAGATTAAACATTAGGTTTACCTTATAGTAAACTTTTATCTGTATGACAATTTGATATAAAATTAAATACTATGAGATTACGCAATAATATTGAGTGTTCTCGATTTCCGTTTACACACTGTATACCAGTAGAGTAACATATTTTTTGAATAATAATCATGACTGTTTGGTAAGATTTATTTAGTGTAAATATATTTTTGTAAAATATTTTTACTTCGAGTTAAATTCGGTTAACTTTTAACGCCTATTTTATTGAGTTTACTGTGCATCCCTAAAAAGAGGTTGTAAAATTTATCAACTGGTTAGTATTATTTTAACATGATCTACTATAATTCCAAAGTAAGTAAATATAGGTACTTTAATTCAATGTAAAGCAGTAACTATAAGAAATCGAAATACACAAACCAATAGACCGATACTCTAAAACCACCCCAAAAAACTAATGATTACATTACTCAGTAAATACTAAAATGTATTATGTTAATTTTGCTAACCCCACCAAATCTTAAACACTATTTACGCTTATACATATTCAACCTAATTATACTACATTCAATTAAATCCTGCATAGTATAAATCATTGAGTACAACATATAAATATAAAAATTCGGTTTTCGAAAAAATTGTTTAAAAATATTTTGAATTCGCCATAATTTTTACTTTTATCAATTAATAAATTAACTAAATAGCAATTTATTGGAGACCAATATAAACTTTATAAAATATCCCATTTGAAATATTCGCGTGAACATAATGTTTGCACGATTTGTATTTATACAACATTTGTTACTATCTGTCAAAAACCAACACCGCTACTTAGTTTTGAATTTTATTCCGAGACGACCGAACGCCAAATGTCAATTCACAACGATTTTAAGTGTATATTTTGAAATAACATTATTTGCATTTGATTTTTAACAGGGAAAAAAATTTTATTCGATATTTGCAGTTGAAAAGATAAAATATTTGAACTGATAATTTCGTATGATTTTTAACCTTTTGCTATCTGTCTGCTCTTGGAAATAAACTTACAGTCTTACCCGAGTTGGATCCCAAAATATTGTTTTATCTTAAGAAGAACCTAAGTAAGTATAATATAAAAACACATACATATACACACAATAATATACATCGTATAAATACCTAATATTTCTAATTACGGCATTATGTTCTCGACATTTACCCTCGAATAATAAAAAAAATAAGCAAACCTTTCATTTCAAAATTATCTAATATAATACTACAGCACTATTCAGAACATCGATAAATTTACTGTAATCATAACAAATGTTAAAGTCCTTTTGAGATAATAATAAGAAAATTGCTTGATTGATATGTACACTCATTACAAAGAATATGTATTATAATTATATGTATATTACACATTATATTATACGTATTATTATATATAATATATTCATGAAAGGACAATTAAAACTGATCAAATAGCCTGAAAGATAAATAAATTGATATATTTTATCGAAGACAAAAGTGTTTAAAATCACCGCGGTTGACGGTATCCCTCAACTGCATTGCGCCGAGTTTTACCACAACTGCGTGAACTATAACTTCAGTCTTTATCTACGTACAGTGCCGTAACAAACCTTCGTGGAGCGATTTTTTTGCGAATTGGTGAATTTTATTTTGGTGTTTATTTTGTAAAAAAATAACCTAATTTCACCAAAATAATTTTAAAGAAATAATATTAGCATTCAATCTGACTTAAACGCTGAATGAAACTATCAATATGATAAATCATATATACATAACTAAATATTAAATGAAAATGTCTTCAAGAGTTATACTTTCATCCGAAGACGATATATAGCAGAACTAATAGAATACCACTCTTGTTTGTATGATTTAAAACATATATATTTTCCAAGTATCAAACAGTCAGGATAAATGTATGGTAATAAATTTCGAATAAAGTGAACCGACTAGGTATTATAATTATAATATTATAGAACAAGTAATTATATTATGGTATACTTTTTTTTTAATAAATAGTTAATTTTTGCAACTTATAATTTGTAAATTATTTATTACTCGAGTAACGATAAATATTGAGAAACCGTGGCTGATCAATTAAAAAATGCTTAATACTAATTAGCAAATTAACTAGGTAATTAAATTTTTTTTGCTAATAATTATTTAATTATTAATTAAGAAAATTTATTATGCAGATTGAAAAAAAATATCTAAATTTAAAAAAAAAAAGCTGGTTCTAGCAATATGCAATAATTTAAAACTTATTGGCAGTGAATACGTTCACGTTACAATTCATTCTTTCCTTGGTGAAGTAGGTTCTTTCACTCTGTTGCTGAGATTTGATTTTATGTCGACTTCGATTAAGTTTAAAACATAGCTAAATTGTTCCTAACTTAATCTACCAAATTCTCGGAAATTTTTTTCGTCTCTAAACAAATGTTTCTCAAAATACTGAAAATCTTTCTTTTCTGGATTGAAACATTTCATGATTCTTTTATTACAAATTGATCAATAATTCTTACATAATATGGTTCAAAATTAAATAATTACTAATGATTGGAAATCAACAAAGTACTTGAATCAATACAACGCACAAAGTTATAATAATTGTATATTGAACTAAATTTAAAATATGTGCTGCGCGTATATTGCGATTTTAGGAACGGACGGGCTACGTGACAAAAATCAAAATAAATTTTATCAATGAAATGTCCTATTTATGTCTAAGCACGTGAGTGTGCAGGCGGTATGATAACTTGCATATAAGACATTTTCGTTTTCGAAGCTGGCGACTGGTATTAAAATGAATTTTCTGAAGACTTGATGGTTGATTTTTCATAATTGAATTGTTTAGTGATTGGTTTATACAATAAAACAATATATCATGAATTCCAAAATAGAACTTTTCATATCAGTAGTACCGAAAATAACCTATTTCATGAAATATGATGGATGCGAATTATCGTAATCGTTTTCTAGTGGACAAAACGTGGGACACATGTTTCAACAAAGATATTATATGATTATTTGATTCAGAGTTTTAAATTTCCCTAGCAGAACAGCTTAAAAAATCAGACATTCACAAAATCACGTTCACCTAGGCTGCAAGGGGGCTCCAGTACGTCGTGTCTTAAGGAAATTAACACAAGCAATTTAACGTGATTTCATTAAAGTGACTTGTAAGCGTATGCAAAGTAAACGAACATAAGTCTAATCTGTAATCGTTTACGGTCAATATTTCCTGGAAACCGTCCGTTGTCGACACCAAACACCGTAAACAATGAACAAATTATACGGGTCATAAATATCGTTCTTACCATAATAAATTGATTATTTTACCATTTTACTATAGTAGGCGCATATCTAATGTATTTTATACATTAATTATACAACATTACCTAACTAATCCTTCCAGAATTTCCGATCAGAAGAAAATCAGTAGCATTCGCTAATTGTTCATTGTTTTAAGTACCTATTTTTTTTTTTTTTTGTTATTGTTATTATTATTATATTTTTTTTTTTTACGTTATGAGGAATTACACATTCAAACACAAACACCAGAATATATGAATATAAAACTGCGATTTATCCATAATGTGTATGGTGACATTGTGTAATAATTGATTGAAATATACCTCATAGTTGACTTATTAAGCAATATCAAATAGCAATATTTTATTTTCAATAAAAATGCCTTATTTTTATTAAACAAGGCATTAAACAAGTTAAATACTGCGAAAAAAATTTGTAATTGAATAGGTTATATAAATTCAAATAAAAGCAAAATGTAACTAAAAGGTACTAACTTACTGATTTCCGTAAACTGTATTTAACTT